CTGCTGCTGCTGCTGCTGCTGGTCCTTTGAGGAGATCATGCAGGTCATAAGTGAGGAGCCCCGCTACAGCCATTATCGCCGAGGAGGTCATCCGCGGTCCGTGTGTACATCCAGAGAGGCCAGGCTGGCAGCCCTGCAGGCATTGCCTGAATCGCAGCCGTCAGCCCAATTGAGAGCAATCCAGGACCAGACCCGAATGATCGAGGACCTCCTGCCCCGGACACGGCAACCCCTGCCCCTGCTGTGGATGTGCCTCCCCCCTAGGCCCGAGCTGGGATTGCCAGGGCTAGGTTTGCTCTCTCGGACTACCACCGCTGCCAAAGCCACCTTCCCGCAGCCAAAAAAGTAGAGGCTTCCTCCACTGCCTTTATTCAGGGAGCACCCTCTAGCCACACAGCGGCTGCGCATGAGTCGCCCACCCCTCTCCCGTATGGAAGCGTGACATGCGCCATTGACTCCCCCAAAGTGCACAGCTCCCAGACGGGAGCGCATTAGTCGGGTGTGCCAGTCCGACCACATGTATGAGTGGTTGCAGGCTTTGGTAAGAATATTGATCATCGAGGAAAGTGCGGTGACAGCTGGGCTGACTGTTTCCGAACAAATGAGCACATGGCAACGCCGCACCCTTCTTGGATCCTCGAGCCCATCACCAAGGCGGAAGCGAACAAGGGAACCATGGCTGCCGGGTTGATCGTTGGGGCATCTGGCCAGCTCACTATACTGGGACACGGTCCGACCTACAGAGGGCTCAACCCCATTACGGGCTTCTCAGCTCTGATCCATGCCCTGTTCGTGCGCCTTTGGGACCACAATGATATGCCGAAAATCATCGACACGGAAAAACAACTTTGAGATCAAAAGCGCAGCGACAGTGGCTGGCAGCAGTCTGGCTGGTGGCTGGAATTGGTGCGAGCAGCCGAGCTATTCCTCCTCTTCTACAGGTTGGAACTGGAACAAACGCTACTGAACATGCTTGGGGTAATATGCCAGCCGCGCGTGGATCCTGCTCATGCAGCGTTCAATTGAATTGTTGTTGTTGGCTCCGACAACGCACACGCACAAAACCGACATGTCCATTCCACCGGTTGTTTTTTTGTTTAACGGTGTTTCCGTCACTTCAGGAGCCGAATATACCGGTGCCGTCGGTGTTGCCGGCACCTCTAAAATCGCGAAATCTGCACGTGCCGGAACCACCGGCATTTGCGATGTTTCCCGCAGCTCCCTGTGGCATCCTGTGGAAACCATGCTAACGTCCACACAGACTCTGTCCGCTCCCACAGAGCATCCATGTGGCAACCATGTTAACGTCCACGAAGACTCCGCCCATTCCCACAAAGCATCCATGTGGCAACCATGTTAACGTCCACCCAGCCTCCGTCCGTTCCCGCAGAGCATCCATGTGGCAACCATGTTGACATCCATGAGACAACCATATTAACGTCCACACAGACTCCGTCCGTTCCCACAAAGCATCCGTGCGGCAACCATGTTAACGTCGACACAGACTCCGTCCGTTCCCACAGAGCATCCATGTGGCAACCATGTTGACGTCCACACAGACTGCGTCTTGTCCCACGGGGCACCCACGTGGCAACCATCTTAATGTCCACTCCATCAACCCGGCTCTGGATTGTGTACACTGAACACGTAGGGCTCCTTTGTTTTGTGGACAGGTTGGCCGGAATGTTTGGGATTGGTTTGGTTGTTTTGAAACTTTGGTTTCCAGTCCAACGTAGACTGCCCAAAGCAGAGGCCCGAAGCACTCAAAGCCAGCACTTCTGCAAAATATAACCGCAAACGTGTCTAGAAACAACGAAAACCAAATTCCCGTTTGCCACGATGTGCTGTAATTTACCGCATTTTTTTGCAAAATAAGCCCACAGATTAAAGAACCGTCCTGGTTGTACAAGGCCATATCTTGTGTCTTTGGAAACATGAAAAGCACAGAAAACCGCGTAGATATCGATGTGTTCGGCACTTGCGACTACGTGGAAATCCAAGCGCAGAAAATACCGACGCGGTTTTCCGCCCTGAAGCGTTTGAAACGCTGTACAAACCGATACAATCGGCACGTGTGTGGCGTGCGTTTACGTTGTGTCGAAATGGTGATGGTGGTGTTGCTGTTATTGTTGCTGTTACACCCTGACAGCTAAACCAGGATGTGTCAGGTTGCAAGGATTTCGATTACTGAGAGTGGCGCGGTTTCAGTAGGGGGCACGGCATCAGATTCCAGACCGTGCCTAACACAGCTACGGAATCTGATGGGAAGTGGAGACTGATCGTCTCCGTGTACTTGGCAACAGTTTGTCTCTTAACAGTGCGCGCTGTACACCCAGTTCGATTGGACATGGCAAGGGGCTATGCCATTCGAAACTTGTTTGTAGACTCAGGCTGACAGTTGCTGGTTTACCCAGGAACTGGCGAACCTATGGCAGAAAGGAGTTATCATGACATCAAGAACAGAGTACGCCCATCTTACCGGTTGTTGTTTTTGTTATTGGTGTTGTTATTGTTGTTGTTGCTGTTGCTGTTGCTGCTGCTGCTCCTGCTGCTGCTCCTGCTGCTGCTGCTGCTGGTGTTGTTGTTGGTGGTGTTGTTGTTGTTGGTGGTGGCGGTGGTGGTGGTGGCGGTGGTGGTGGTGGTGGCGGTGGTGGTGGTGGTGGTGGCGGCGGTGGTGGTGTTGGTGTTGGTGTTGTTTTTAATTAGTGTTGGTGCTGGTGTTGGTGTTGGGGCTATTGCTGTTGCTGTTGCTGTTGTTGTTGGTGGGGGTGGTGGTGGTGGTGGTGGTGGTGCTGCTGCTGCTGCTGCTGCTGCTGCTGTGCTGTCGTTCCTGTTGTTGTCGTTGCTGTTGTTGCTGTTGCTGCTGTTGCTGCTGTTGTTGTTGCTGGATGTGTTGCATGGAAAGTGTCTACATGGAGGTTTGCATCTGATTGTAAGATTTAAAGTGCGCCTACAAGGGGCTGCGCTCTATGCTGCTGCTGCATGTTGCCTACAAGGCGTCTACATGGGGATGTGATTTCCGCACGCTCTCGCCTTTGCCATTTGCTGTCTGAAACGGCACTCACATGGGATGTGCTAGGCGTGCTTTCCGCTGTGGGTGGGGCGTGTTGTCCAAAGGGCATCTACATGGTAAGATACGGCGTGGTTCAGGATATCGTTTTGTTATCGTTCAGCATGTCGTTGTATTTAAAAGACGGGCAATCTTTTTCGATTTTTCCCTTGGTGACACCTGTTCTCTCAGGGAGGATGTCCGAGCTGCCCGCTATGTGTTTGACAACAAACCGCTCCTGCTCTTGGTCCGAGCTGCGGTCTCTATCGATGCCTGGACTGCACAGCCACAGCCAGTACTTCTAGCGACATGGAGGGAGGACATTCTTGAGATTGAACTTGGTAGTAGAAGGTGCTATGAGTTGTAAGATGCATTCCTTTTTTGCGAGCTGGCCGTCCTTCCCAACAACTTCTGGATGGGTTTTCGGCCGTTGCCCGTGTGAATGCCGAGGGGTTTGTTGGGTATATGCTGACCATGAGACGCTCGGCGCAGCAAGCCGCACTGTCGTGCCCTGCAGCGTTCAGGTCGCAGCTGCATGCAAACGGCATGGCTGTGGCGCAACATCTTTAAGGATTGTTTTTGCGAGCGTGCTAAGGCGAGCTCCGATCAGAAATTCCAGACTTTGTGGATCGATGCAAAGCCATTGGAGCTCGAAAGGGAAGGGGCTGTGGCATATACGGGTCAATGCATGTCGGGTGAGCGCCTGTCTCTTCCAAAACTGTACTGTACGCACAGACGGGGATGCTCGTGCAGAGCTAATTCTCGTACGTCCTCCGCGTCCTATGCGTCCCGCGTCCCGCCCGTGTGCATAGCTAATTCGCATGCGTCTTCACGCGTCCTATGCGTCTCGCGCCCCGCGTCCGGCGTCTCGCCCGTGTCTGCATCCCGCGTCCCGCATCCCGCCCGTGTCCGCATCCCACGTCCTGTGTCGCTTGGCCCGCGGCCCGCTCCCGCGCGGTAAACGGCCGTGGGCCCACGGCCAAGGCTCGCGGTCCCGCGGCAACAAGCCAACAACACCAGCAACATTTTTTTTGCAATTGAACGCTGCGCACGTGCGCTGATGACCGATCCACGATGATCCACGCTGTGCTGCCTCGTACCACGTTGAGCCGACAAGCACATGAGACCCCCTCCCCATCTCCACAAAGCGGGATTGCCCACTGCGGCTGCCCCAGTCCGCAGTATCCACAAGGAGCACACGAGACAGCAGGACCACGGTCTGGCTGTGTTTGTAGATGGAAACCGGAAACCGTTTCTGTAACGTAATTCGCTCAGGCGGTCAGTGACACAGCCACACCTCGATGGGAACTGCATCTAGCTAGCGATCAGGCAGGCCCTTTTTCAATGTCGACGGCCGTCAGCTTCGGGCACGGTTGTGCAGAAAAAGGTCGACAAGTGGTCAAGTTCACCAAAAGGCAAGACGCCAGAAGAGAGGCAGAGCCACCAGAGTCAGCGGGGCTGGCGCGTCCGCGGAAGTGTCAGGAACGGAATTAGTCGGAGAGGTGGTCCGATTTCTCTTGTGGTCCGGAGTCGTAGCTTTGTCAGACATGGTTGGTCACTAGCCAAAATTGCTACGGGTAGGCTTGCGCATGCCTAAAGCATGTTTGGCCTTGACGTGGGGCGGCCATGCCCACCTGTTGTGGGGTCCGGCCTTCCCACGCACAGGCACCCACAGGGATGAAAAGGTGCGCAGCTATTGCGGGCCAGCACCTACCCTGTAGGCAGGTCAGAATCCCTGCTTCGTTAGGAAAAGGATGTAACATCCTTCAGGCACCCGCTTGCGATCCGAGGCCACGGCTTGCGCTGGACGCGTCGAGTCATCCCCGACGAAGAGCGATAGAACAAAAAGGATCGGTAATGGCCTTCATGAAGCCAGGGGCCCAAGTGATAGACACCAGACGTGTACTATTCGCGGTGTCTGGCCTTCCTGCCATGTGGGGATGCGGACTGTGTGACGGATGTCAAAGGGCGTCATTAGCTTATAGCCCTGACTCCACCGCTAATGATCATTGGGAGGATCGGAGGTGCCCACAACAGAGCCCGCTGGAATTTGTTATCGCACCAAGCCGTGCAGAATTGCTGGAGGGTGCGCAGGCCGTGTCCAAGGGTAAGTGCAGGGGAGACTCTCCTGTGTCCGAACCCTCCACTTGGCAGCCTAAAGGTTGAACGGTGCCGCTGTTCTCAAGCAACAATGCTGCCATGAACTCCGCTGCATCCTGTTGCCTGCCATCGAACTTCCATCTTGGGATGAAAGAACGGAGAGCCTTCTTCTCTGAAACACGCCCCCTCATTTGGCGATTCCGCGGTTCATCACAGAGTTTTGAACACGTCCCCTGATTCGGCTTTTCCGCTCATCATATTATGAGCACGCCCTCTCGGTTAATCAAAATGTTTTAACATGCCCCCTCATGCGGCCATTCGTCATATCTTAAGCATGCCCCCTCCTTTGGCGATTCCAGTCGTCATATGTCTGAAACACGCCCCTTCGGTTCATCAAAATCAAGTGGCGATTGAGGTTCATCATATATCTTACACGCCCCCTCATTTAGCGATTTATCGGTTTGATATATATATATACACAAAAACATATCATATCATATATCTTCGACGTCCCCCCTCATTTGGCGATTCCGGTTCATCATATATCTTAAACAGACCCCTCATAGATAGATAGATGGATAAACAGATAGATAGACAGACCGGCGTGCCTTGGCGTGCCCTCGCGCACCGTGCCCCTTCCGTCGCCCCGTGCCCCGGCCACGACGTCCGGCGTCCCGCGTCCTGCGTCCCGCCCCCCCCAAACCATACCCTGCTCATCTGGAGAAGACGTGAGAAGCATCAATCTTGTCGCGAGGAGAACAGGTTGCGAGCCCCACGGTCATGTATGCCGTCAGGCAGAAGGCTTCCTAGTTGCAAAAAAGAGTGACGTTCGTCGGGCTAGTGCCTCCCATGCACGCCCCACGCACGCTTTCAAGGATGGCAGCAATTACATTGTGGATGATTATTACAAGGGCTACAAGTGGCTCGAGCCACTTGGCCTCAGATCCGTTACGATGTCGGGGTTGATCAATTCTTTTGGAACCCCATTGGAGATATTAGGAAAAACACCGCGGAAGATGCCCGAGTCATGGCCTGGTGGGACTACGGCAGCTCAGAATGCATGGGTTAGACTCCTTGGATCCTTGGACGGCTGCGCTCTGAGCCAAGGCTACCAGATCACCGGCATTGGAAACAGGCACTGCCGGCCTACTGTAAGGTTTTATGGGTGCAAGCGGGGGGTTGCTTGCTTCAGCTGCGTGCTTCACTGCTTCATGAGAAGAAAGTCAATATTGAAGCTGGGAGCCAGCCAAGTCAACAACAAGTAGATGGCTGGAGGGGGGTGGTGAAGCACGGTTCGTGAGAAAAAGGGTGGAGAAAGAGAGAGAGAGGGAGAGAGGGAGAGAGAGAGAGAGAGAGAGAGAGAGAGAGAAAGAAAGAGGGCAAGGGGAGCAATCTCCTTGTCCCTAGCCCTGGCGAAAGAAAAAGAGAGAGAGAGAGAGAGAGAGCGAGAGGGAGAGGGAGTGGGAGAGGGACAGGGAGACGGAGGGGTCAAGCTCTCCACTATAGCCGCAGCTGGCTTAGCATGATGTACTTCCTTTGTTCCTTGAATCGCTATCCTTGTCAGGGCTGTACGCCTAGATGTCCTTTGTTTCTGTTCAGTCCTGGGTAGCAATCCTCCCTTCAGGCCCGCAGAAGGAAAGAAAGAGAGAGAGGCGGGTTGGGGGCGGTTAGTGGACGTCTTGTTGCCGATCTGTCCAGCTCTAACCTCGTTCTGGGGGCGGGCGGACCAGACCGTGGACTCCAGTGTGTGCATGCGTGCAGGGGGTTGGGAGTTCCCCCATTCCTGCGTGGTGAAGAAGACTACGAAGAGGAAGTACAAAAAGAAGAAGAAGGAGAGGAGGGAGAGAGAGAGAGAGAGAGGGCGCCCCCCCCCGGAGTGGAAGAGTCGCACGGTTGTGCTGTAAGTGTCCTGGTTTAGTCTTGAGTTTGTGTTTTCGTGGAACACCATTCCTGGCTGACATGAACCGTGCACAGTTTGCTGAACAACAAATCGTGAATCGTACGAGACACTCGAACCCTGTATCCTATAATGTTTGTTACTAGTGTAAAGTGCGGTGTGGCTGCTTCCCGCTCAGGGGAAATATACTTTTCCTGGATACATGTTGGCCGCAGCCTAGGTACATGAACCTAGGTATGGAGTTGTAGTGGGGGGAATCTGCTGAGATTCATGCCGTACCATGCATCGGTGTCCCAAAGATGCATGTTTTGTTTCTGCGATGCCGCTTGTTATGTTAGGTACGTGGGGAGACGAACCGGTGCGAGTTTTCACGCCCCCTCGAAGTCACCCCAAGCACTGGGGGGCCTTTGTGGCCAGGGGGTCTTGCCAACCCCGTGCCATGTGGAAGAAGCACCCCTAGCAAGCAACCAAGCAAGCAAGCAATAGAGGCGAGCATTCCTGAACTCTACCAGTGGCCGTTTTGCAACAGCGCCGAAGCAAATCCACACGCCGAGAGCGAATTTACCATGCGAATGTTAGTGTGGCCAATTCTGAATCCTGGGTTTCTTCAGCGCCAGGACTTCCATTGCCGACGGAAACACTTGGAACCATGAGCACATAGCGACGCTCGGGCGAACACTCACGAGTGAGGCCGGAGCAAGGCTTTCAGCAGATCCAGGGACAGAAAAATCGCAGTTGCAATGATGCCAAGAATCAAAAAGTGTCCAGGTGAAGCGGGCGCACAATGCAATTCGGCACTTGGCCGACTATGTTCTTGTTTGGGGCGGCGGGCAGCCACTTGGCAAGAATCTTCGGCATGCAGGCCGCGGTACCAAGAACTGACTGACACGCTCCGGGAGGCGAGATGATCTGGGCAAATCGCCTCACCTCGCAAGGCGAGAACGTCCGACTGAGTGTTGGCGACTGTCCTTGGGGCGCGGGCTCGACAGGTCGTGTGACCATTGTCAGTCTAGGTGCATTGAGTCGCGCACCGTTACCCTTGCAGTTGCAGGATCGGCAACTCAGTTTTCCCAGACCATTGCGGTGATGACGATCCGAAGTGCACAAAATTCGGTTCCATGGCCTGGCCCAGACGCAATTAGATGCTATTATATTATGTGCACGACCTCAAAAGACCGCCGACCAGAATTGAGGACTGGTTGTCCCGTCAAGTTTTCGTAATCGATAGCTCATCAGACGGTCTGATGATGTTTCATGCACAAAGGCTTCTATGCCGACCGGTCACCGACGCCAATGATGGAGAAGTCGCTGTTGTACAAGCTGGTGTCCTTGACCTGCACAACATGCAGCATCGGCCCGTAGGTCATCTTTTTCAGAGGTGGAGATTCCTTCAGAAAAGTTTAGGACCTGATTGGGAACGGACGGCGTGTAAGAAGGTGACTGCTTCAAACATTTCCAGACCTTATCCAGCGCCTGAGGGCCGTAGCAAGCCCACCCCGGCCGGTTTAATGAGTGCCTCCGAGTACTGGCATTTGCGGCAAGGGTTTGCATTTTAATTGGTCAGCTGAGCCAGCTCCTGCAGCCCCACACCTTAGGTGGAGCACAACAACAAAAAGGGTGTGCGAGTCAACGAGAGCCTCTCTCAGCAATCACGTCGCCTCAAGTCTGCAATTTACTCGCTGGCAAACCCCGAGGCGCTACTTCAAGCATGTGCACACCACCAAGCATGGCCTCATGCAGCCTGGACCGAAGACCAGCTTTCGAGGTCAAGGCGCTCTGGTTCCAGCAACTGAAAGTCTTAGCCAAGGCGAATCTATGAGGTGCAGAACGTCTCCCAGGCAGCCGTCAGACGTCGTCAGATGCAATGATGAAGCCTACACGCGGGAGCCCATGGGAGGAAAGCAAGGACTGGATAGCAGATCCGAAAAATCGCGTCTGTGACGCCCCTGGGAGCTGGTACTGTGCTGAACTCAGGTCATACGGCCTCTTCTGAAGACACTGTGACACTTGAATTGGCATGCTGATGACGAGGCGTCGGCCAGTACCCCCCTGCCTTGAGCAAACTGATAGCGAAAAGGCGAAACTTCGCGCAGATTGAGGACAGAAGGGCCCTGGCAAACACAACTCTCAAAAAAAGGGGTCAGCGATGCCAGGCACAAGTAGTTCGAGCAAGCGTTAGCGAAAGATGCGCACAGGACTTCAACCGAAAGGGCGAGAAAAGCGCCTACACTCGTCTCATTGAGAAAGAGAAGGGCGAGCTGTGAGAGCCCCGAGGCTTGAGACACTTGTTTCTTGACGCTGCACAACTCTAGATTTCCAAGAGCGCATACTAACAACAGATTTCTTCCATAACAACAGCGGTCACGGAACTAAGGCTAATGGTGCGACATGTTTGAAAGAGACGTGTAAACATTTTGTAAGTAGGGAAGTGGTAGCAGTATGTATATTTACTAAAGCGACTAGGCATCATAAGATGGCAGTAATAGGCCAACAAGAATTCAGAAGCAGCAGTAGAATCAGTGGCAGTTCGTCGTAGAGGTTGTCGTAATAGTAGTAGTAGTAGTAGTAGTAGTAGTAGCAGTAGCAGTAGTAGTAGTAGTAGTAGTAGCAGTAGTCGTCGTCGTCGTCCTCGTCGTCGTCGTCGTCGGTAGTAGTA